TTAAAATTTACATGGAACCAAAAAATGCTAAGGATAGCCAAAGCAACCCTGAATAAGAAGATTGCTGCAGAGTGTATTGCTATATGTGAGTTCAAGTTCTACTACAGAGCCATGGTAATTAAAACAACAAAAAAAGTGTGGTGGTGGTGTAAAACTAGGCATAGATAAGCAGAACCGGTAGACCGGAGGACCCAGTTCCTACAACTACAGCTGTTTGATGTTTGAAAAAGGTGCCACAGATAAATACGTGCTGGAGAAAGGACAGCATCTTCAACAAAGGGTGGTGAGAAACCTGGATGTCCAAATGCAGAAGAACGAAACTAGATCCATCTCTCACCTGCTCAACTCAACTCAAAAAGGATTAAGGACCTGATCATAAGATCTGGCACTCCCGAAACTGCCCGGCTGAAACAGTAGAGGTAGAGACTTTCTAAATGGGACTCCAACAGCACAGGGACCACCAACCAGTAGAACTGCATGAAACCAAGAAGCTTCTGTACAGCCAAAGAAACTGTCAATTTAGTGAAAAGGCAATCTACAGGATGGGAGAAAAATCTTTGACACCTATAAATCAGACAGAGGATTAGTATCTAGAGTATGCATAAAGACTTAAAAACTTAAAAAAAAAACATCAAGAAAGCAATCCAGTTTTTAAATTAGAGAGGTAGGCTAATGGTTAAAAGTGTTCACTGTTCTTCTACATCTTAGTTCAGTTTCCAGCACCTACCAGGCAGCTCACAAACACCTGTAACTACAGCTCCAAGGGTTTTGACCACTCTTCTACCCTCCAAGCACCGGTAGACACTCTTACAGACCCACAGACACACAGACACACACACACACACACACACACACACACACACACACACACACACACACAAACTTTAAAAATTCTTTAAGGTCAGTATCCAAGTGGATTTCCCTAGTAAGGGGAACAGGAACTATTTCTGACATGAACTCAATGACTGGCTTCTTTATCTACCCCCCCACCCCCACAAGGGAGGAGCAGCCTTGCTAGGCCATAGAGGAGGACATATCAGCCAGTCCTGAAGATACCTGATAAGCTAGGGTCAGATGGAAGGGGAGGAGGACCTCCTCTATCAGTGGACTTGGAGAGGGGCAGGGAGGAGATGAGGGAGGGAAGGTGGGATTGAGAAGGATTGAGGGAGGGGGCTATGGCTGGGATACAAAGTAAATAACCTGTGATTAATATAAAAAATTAATAATAAAAAAATAAAAAATTCTCGAAGGAAGTATGTTTATGGAACTATACAGAACACTCAAAAGAAGTACAAACATGCTGGAATCACTTAAAAATTGCACAACGGTGCTAGCCATTCAAGAAAAGCGGATCCAAACTCTTTTAAATAGATCCCGCCTCATCCTAGTCAGGTGGCTATCATCAAGAACACCAATAACAGTAAATGCTGCTGACATGAAGTCAGGAAAGGACTCATCTGCCTGGCAGGATGTACCCATGGTGCAGCAGGGCATTATCAGGGTAACCAGTCTCTTTCTGGTTGGATCTGAAGCCTTCTCCACAGGAGGGAGTTCATGCCTGATACTGTAAACCTCCCTGTACAAAGCCCATGGCTATGGAGGTCATAGGCCCTTGAAGGGAAATGTATGTGTGTGTGTGTGTGTGTGTGTGTATGTCATGTTTCCAAACTGCCATCTGAGTATTTATGTTTATAGCCATAGATCTATGCTGCTATCAACCTCAGCTGGACAAGGTTTGCAGTGGGTAGCAATAAATGCAGGGAATTATATGTATCTCAAGTGCTAAGAACAAATGACTGAATGCATTACTGTGTATGCTCAGCCACATATGGGACATCTATATCAGCCCCCAGCCCTGGAGGCTCAGGGGACAGGGAGTACCATGGAGGAAGAGGGTGGGAGGAATTTAAGATCTGGCCGATGGGGAGGGGTACTGTGAGATTCTGGCTTCTGGGCACAGCATGGCCTTTGCTCTCATGGACTCATGGCAGCTATATTACCAGCACAAGACCTATGCAAGATCAGTCCAGTCGCGACTCCGGGGTGAGAAACTATTGGCAGACTTGGAAAGGGAGAGTTGTTTTTCTCTGGAGTGTGGCCGCTGGTGGGTTTCTGTGCTTCTGTGGATGGCCCCACGCTTGTGCACACACTGACAGCACTGGTTGGACTCAGTAGGCCGCATCAAAAACCAAAAAGAAAGGGACACAGGAAGGAGTGCTGGGGAGGTCTGGGAGGAGCCGGACGAGGGAAGTGAGGATGGATCCGATGAAAATAGGCTGTGTACATGTAAAACTAAAAAAGCCACTGAGACTGAGACTTTTTGCTCACTGACCTTTCCTTGCGGGCTTTGGACTAGGGCAAGAGGTCTGCCCCTCCCCCAGCCAAGTGAGCACTGTTTGTTGATCACGTCTGTGTGCAGCAGGGCTTGCCATGGGGTTGTGAGACTTAGTCCTCATCTGAGGTGCCCAAACCAATCAGAGGAAAGACATTCACACCACAAACCTGCCTGTGCTGCACTCACCAGGGGTTCTCTCTGGTGCCAGGACCACTACAAAAACGCAGCTCAGACAGCAACCTGTCCATTTTTTTCTGCATGTTCACCAAAAAGAACACCTATGCCCACTAGTTAAATAGGTTTTATAGACTCAAGACTTTTAGTTAAACAAAAACTCAGCCTGGCACTTAAAATAATATTTGTCTGTGTATTTGTTCTTTTTTTCCATAACAAATTTCTATCTTATATATTATCCCCAAAATACTCATAATAATATATATATATATATATATATATATATATATATATATATATAAATATATTCCTATTCTATCTGGATGACAGAGACAGACAGGGCACAGGGCAAAGGTCAAGTGTTAGGGGACATGACACGTGGGCAACCATAGAGAAATCTCCTGGCTGTATTAACCTCCAAAGATTTGTCTAGGACAATAGATACAATTATTTGTTCTGCCTACCTCACAGGTTTGTTGTAGAGATCAAGCAAAACCACGTATATAGAAGCCTCCTAAAAAGTTTAAGGCAGCATTCTAATATAAGGTATTAAATTCTTTGCCCTTTTCCTTTGTTCCTCTGAAATCATATTCTGTGTTTGACTTGTGCTCGTGGATAGAAAACACTCAGGACAGTGGTGGATGAGGCGTGTGTGTGTGTGTGTGTGTGTGTGTGTGTGTGCGCGCGCGCGCGCGCGTTCCTAAGCACAGGGGAGCTTGTCTGACTTCTTTAAGTTCAGAGAGAGCTCTTTTCCTTGGTGAAGGCACTAGGGAATTCTTGCTTACGTGGCTTGTCCTCTGCTCGGGCTGACCATGCTAGCTACAGCTAGGGAGAGCTGCCACTCAGTTCCTCACGGTGTAGAAGTGAGGGTGCCCTAGAGAATTCCATCAACACTGGACCTTCAACGCTGTTCAGGAGACCATGGTTGGAATTGCACGCGGACAGGGTGCCCCATTTCTTTAGGGCAACCAGGACGCTGAGACCACAACTGCCTCCACCTTAAATCCTAACGATTAGATGAGCTGACTACGGAGGCAATATTGGCACGAAATTAATGGTCGATAAAACGTTAGCCAACGCAATGATGTGTTTATTGAGTCACTTGGCCCCAGGCTCTCCTTGGGGTAGAGGAGCAAGACCCTGTCCCTGCCTCTAGAGAGGCTGAAGTGCCCTTCAGTCGCTGCAATAGAGCGTTATGAATCACAGGGAATTAAAAAAAAAAAAAAAAAAAAAAACAAACTGCCCCCAGGAACTTCTTTTCTAAGAAAAGTCTCCTTGGCTGACTTCTAGTGTCCAGCCGGCAGCATGGGCTACGGGGAGCCTGATTCAGGGTTTGGCCATGGGTCCAATTATTGCATTTCCCAGCAGTGAAGCGGTTTCGGTCAGAAACGTCGAATTTTTTTTTTTTTTTTTTTTTAAAGCCTAAAACAAAGTTGTAAGTTGCAGGAGCCGGTGGGTGAGTGAAAGTCTGAGGAGCTTGGAGCGGGGAGAAAAAGGGCTTTGGGCGCTCTCCGCGGCCTCCAGGTGAGGACGGAGGGTGGTTAATCATCACTCACGGTGCAGATCCGAGAGCAACCGGATCCCCGTCCCGCCCGCGCCCGCGAGCCGCAGCCTAGGTGGCACGAACCTCCGCCGAGGCTCCGGCGCGGCTCCCCCCGGCCCCCCCCCCCCCCCCCCCCCCCCAGGGCAACAGCTCCACGTGGAGAGGAGGAAAAGTTTGGCGCGCCCGGGAGGTCCGGGCAGCAGACCCGAGCCCCGGGCTGCAGCCTCGCGGTGGGCCGCGCAGCCAAAGCCGGGAAAGCGAGCTCCACGGGCCCACGCCAAGGGACGCGCTCCCAGGCCCCCGCCCTGCGCACCCCACCCCCTCCCCGGGCCGCGCACGCAGCCAGAGGCCGCTGTCAGAAGCCGCCCGAGCCGCCTTGGAGAAGCAGGGCGGACTTTGCACCCAGGACCCCGGGCCTCGGCTTCCCCAGCCAGCCTCGGAGCGGAGCGGCTCGGCTCGGCTCGGCGGGACGTCCCGAGCAGGCCGGTGGGCGGCTTGTGGCCACGGCCCGGCTCGGCTCCGGCGCGCCGGAGAGCAGCCCCGGGGGCCGGCGTTCGCTCCCGCTCTCTCCCGGGCGCGCCGGAGCCCCGGGCGGCTGCTCCGGCCGCAGCCTCGGGGACGCCGCCGCCTTCCTTCTGCCGGAGCCGCCCGAGCCCCTGGGCGACTGGGCGCCGCTCCGGACGGCGGGAGCGAGCTTGGCCATCAGGTAAGGAAGGCTGCGAGGGTTCCCTTTCGGCTTCGGCGGCTTCGGGGCGGGCGTGTTTCTCAAAGTTGATTTGAAATGCGTCCAAGAGTGAGCCGGGCCAGTCGCGGCTCCTCCCCGAGGCGACTCCTTTGCTCCTGCAGACGTTCCCGGCGCTGGCCGACCGGCGGGAGGACCTCCCCGCGCGCCCCGCACGCCCACTCCCGAGCGCCCCCGAGCAGAGCGCAGCGCCAGGAGTACGGAAGCAGGCGGGACGGTCCCCGGCTCCCTCACTCTGCCTCTTTCCAACCCCGGACAGGTGAGGGTCGGGACTGAGCGGTCAGACGACAGGGGAATCGGACCTGCTTGGTCCCTCAGACTTGGCCCTGGCTCTAGGAGCAGGCGCACCCCCACCCCAGCACGCGCCGTAGCCTAGTTCCAGCGGAGGGGTCCCTAGGGGCCACGTTGGTATAGGATGGGGCGGAGTCGGTCTTGGAATGGGAAACCTGGGGACAGGGGTGGGGGTGGGGGTTAGGAGAACGCAGTCAGGGGGCGGAGGCCTAAGTACATAACGCTGTTGACTTCGAGTGAAATCAGATCCGTCCGGGCAGTTCACGGTGGCTCTTCTCTCTCCTCCCACCCCGCATTTCTCTTGGCTGGACTCTACCCTCTAGGCTCGTTCTTTCCTCCCTGGACACTTGCTCTGTCCTTCTCCGGGAGTGTGGCATCCTTGGGCGCAGAGTCCCAGCGGGCACGGCGGCTAGACGCAACCCTCCCCCGCAGGTCCTCCAGACTCAACCCGAACATGTTGGACGGCCTGAAGATGGAGGAGAACTTCCAAAGTGCGATCGAGACCTCGGCCTCCTTCTCCTCTTTGCTGGGTAAGTGTCCGACGCCCTGCGCCCTGGCGCATCCTCCCGCCGCCAGGCCAGGAGCTCAGGTACGGCAGCCACTCAGCTCTGGCACCCCACCCGGCTAGGCGACCAGGCTCGCACCCTCTTCACGCACGCAAGACACGCACGCACACAGGCGCCCACTCTCTGTCTTTCCGTGTCCGTCAGTCCTTTTGAGGCGTCCCTACCGAGATACGACTAGCAAGCCTCCTCGGGCCTCCTGAGCTCAACATCGAATTCCCCAAAGCCTCGAGGGGCGGGCGAGCGTGTTCACAGGCGTTTGAGTGGCAAGTGATTAATAACACCCAGGGCTGGATTTTTAATCATGGAGCTGATCGACGGCTCATAAATGCCACCAGTTTCTCAGAGGCCTGTGGCCGAGCAGGAGTGGTCCCGAGGCCTGGAGCACCCAAGTTCTTCCCTTTCTCCCACCGGCTACAGCCCCAGTTTTAGGATTGGGCATGGCCTAGAGGCTTTTCCGGGCTAGTGGGCAGCGCTGCGCTGGGATTAGCCTGCGCGGCGGGGCCCTCGCCTGGTCTTTAATTAACTGAAGCCGGATCCCAGTTCTGCAAGCTTGGTATCCCACTACCCCCCAACCCAGCCACTGCGGAGGAGCAGAGAATAGAGGGATCCAGACGAGTCACGCCCGTGGGTCTCCCAGAGCGAAGGCCAGCAATTCCTGTCTCCTCAACTCTGCCTTTAGGAGTTTTCAAGTTTGGAGGAAAAGTGTTTTTTGTTGTTCTTGTTGTCGTTTTGTTTTTTTCTTTCTTTTTCTCCCCCCCCTTTTTTTTTTCTTTCCCCCCTCCTCTTTCTGCCGAGGAGATTTTCTTTTTTTCATTTAAACCTCGTCCCTTAACTCTAGAACTGAGAGACCGAGTTGACAATTTTTATTGGTGGAAACCACATCCAGAGAGAAATCGCCCACCTCACACCAACAGTCCAGAGGAAACGAAATCGAGCCCCAAGTTTCCTTACTTCCGCCCCCCTCCCTTTCAAAATTGCCAGGGCCCTTTCCCCAGAGCAAGAAGACCCACGCAGGCCAGAGCGGGCGTGCACTGGGGCGCCAGACTTGGTTCCATGCGCAGCTGACCCCGCGGTCTCTCTGACCCTGGGAGGCTGAGACCAGGAAAACAGAACATCACCGGTTGAGACAGGCCAGGTCTTTCTGCGGCCCTCCTTGCCGTTTTTTCCCACCCCATGAAACAACCTGTCCGGCTTACCAGGTGGCAGCTGTTCCCCAAAGCAGAAAGTGAGATCAGCGTAGTTGCCTACACAGAGAGGGATCAGCCCTCTGGGACATCACCGACAAGAGCGTTCTTGTGGGACAAGGGGCTTCTTCAAACGGTTGTGAGAAGTGTCAACCAAGGCGGTTAAATATTCCTTTCTCTGTCCGGTGTTCATGTTGTGGGGAGGCAGGCCCCCACTCGAACAAGATCCGGAGGGACAAAGTCAAAAAGGTCAAGAAATAGGGCAGAGAAGATTATCTGACGGGGCTAAGAGGGCTGTCGCTCCATGCAGCGCTTCTGAGCTCGGGACAGGCAGCCCTCTTCTCAGGCAGGCGTCCTTCTCAGGGTCTCTGCCCTTGGCTATTCTCTCTCCCCACCCCCGTCATTATATTTCCTAATTATAAAAGGCCACCTGCCTTTTGCACGTCAAACAAAACGCAAGAGGGATCCATTCACTGCTTTGAACAGTGCCGAGCTTGCTTGAGAGATGGTGCTTTTTTCCTGCACCTCCAGACTTTTACGAAGAAAGCAGAACATGTCAATTCTTCTTCTAAAGACAGAACACAGTGGCAAGCAAATTATTATCAGTCATGTAAAAGCGGTCAAAGAGCACAAACACGGTGATTTAATGACGACCTGAGCGAGATCCCTGGGAGCGCAAATTCACATGCGATCTAATTTTATGGGATACGTGAATGCACGCAAAAGTTATCTGGGCTGCTCTACCCATGAAGGCCATTTCTTTGACTTTCGCTCCCTCCCTCGCTAGAACTTAACGCCTTACAACTTAGCCTTTGCTTATTGGCAACGTTGTTGCCACTTGGTTGGGTTTCTCGAACCTGCTCCTCAGCGGGGCTCTCTGAGGCTGCGCGGGCTGGGGGGCTGGTGGTGGTGGTGGTGGTGGTGGTAAACCTGCGGGGTCCGATCGGACCCGGCAGTGAGTGCGGCGGGGTGGGCTGGCCAGCGGGCCTCACCGGCGGACGTCTGTTGCTGCCGTAGGCAGGGCGGTGAGCCCCAAGTCCGTCTGCGAGGGCTGTCAGCGGGTCATCTCGGACAGGTTTCTGCTGCGGCTCAACGACAGCTTCTGGCACGAGCAGTGCGTGCAGTGCGCCTCCTGCAAGGAGCCCCTGGAGACCACCTGCTTCTACCGGGACAAGAAGCTTTACTGCAAGTTCCACTATGAGAAGTAAGTGCCCGCGTCGCTGTCGCCGGGGCGCGCTCGCTCGCCTGCTCGCCCGCTCGCGGGCACGGCCGTGCGCCGGGGAACGTGTCCCCCTGCGCCCTCTTCGCCCCTCCGACAGGTCCAGGAGGCACCCGCAGGGCCGACCTGTTACATCTCCCCCGTACCCGCGCCTGGCACTAGTGTCTGCGCAACGTGGGCCCGAGAGAGCCGCGCTGCGTTTTTTGGTTTTTGTTTTTGTTCGTTTTCTTGTTTTGTTCCATAATTATTTTAATCATTCCAAGTTCCATAATGTGGGGCCCAGCCATTCCCAGAGATCACCCTCGGTGGGCCTGGAGCGTCTTCAAGCTTGGTTCTGGGTTCGCCGGGGGCGCCCGGGTGATCACCAGTGACCAGCCACCCTTTTCCATTCCATCTCACTCAAGCGTTTGTGCCGCTTTGGGGCTTGTGCCCAGTGGCAAGGCGGTGCAGATAGGATAGTTTTTGTGTCCCCCCCCCCTCCCCCGGGTACATTTCTTGCTCGGTTTGGGGAACTCCGGTTTGGAAATGGCTTTTCTGCAGCTCGCCGTTGCTTTGCTCTTCCAGTCACCCCCTCCTCGGGTTTTCTAGGAAGCCGGCAGGTGTGGGGGGCCCTGGGGAGCCCTGGACGTTGCTAGGCCAGAGGGGCCCTGACCTAAAGCTCCCTGCGGCGTCTCCACCCAGTTCTAGACTGTCAGCACGCAGAGCTGGGAGGCAGGTGATGAAGAGATCGGTTCTTTTCCGAGCTGGATTTCTGAAATGCCTCAGGAATTGTGAAGTGGTAGGACGTCCTTATTCTCAAAGGACAGGCCAGGAGGAGCCCTCCGAAGTAAGGAGAGGAAACTGCTTTGCCTTGCAAATTGGGCAATTCACGGGGATCTAGGATCGTGGGGGGGGGGGGGCTAGAGGGAAAGAAAAGTGGCCTTAACGCTCCTGTGTTTTTGTGCAGGAGGGAGGCCATACGTGTACTATGTGTGCGTGAAACGTAGCTGCTGTAATTTCATTAAGACGCACAGTGAAAAGGATGCGCAAGAGAGGTCTGACTATGGGGGAAGAGCGGAGGTTTCTTGTTTCTATGTCTGGACTATCAGGCTCACTGAAAAATGGGCCCAGTTAGACCTATCAAAAACCACCATCCGCCGCCACCACCACGATCTGCCACTCAGGACTCCTCTCCTAGATAGAAAAAGCTTGACTCTCAGGAGACCTCATGCGTTGAGGACACTAGGCTATTCTGTTGTCTCAGAAATACCTTACAGTCCCTGCCCTCAACTTAAAACAAAAACAAAAACAACAACAACAAAAATGCTTGAGTATATGTCAGTTGGACAATACAGAAATTGGCAAATAAGCGAAAACTCTCTCTGATCTTTATGGTAAACAATTTTGAAAGGAAAAAACAAAACAACAACAACAACAAAAACAAAACCACGCCGGTGTCTGTTCTGGTTTGTTGGCTTGTAGCCCCGGAGTCTGAGTAAAAAGTGTGATTTTTAGGTAATTAAGCGGATTTGGTCTATACAACTTCAAGTAGACAAAGCCTGGTGACTGCTCGCTTTTTTCCCCCCTCTCTCACTCTTGCTTTTCATGGAAAGGTTTTGGTATTGTGTGGGCCCAATCTTTATCTTTCTGCTTATAGATTAGAGAAAGGTCCACATCCTTCAGGCACAATGCTAGCGAATTCAGAAGTACTGGAGCTTAGGGAAGGATTTGGGTTGTGATTTTTCTATTCTGTTTGTTAAAAAAGAAAACCGTGAATCAAAGAAGGCTCAAGGGTCAACACAGCTGTCTGGCCAGTCAAATCTTCTTTAAGGAAGTCAGGCTGTGTCAAGAGGAGAAGAAACAGTTGCTGTAAAGTACTTAACAGAACAATATCCCTTCCCTTTCAGTCCTCCAGGTTTGGCGAGGTTTGGGCTTATTAGCTGAGAGGGCCAGCTCGCTCCTCACAAAGCTATTTCTGCGAAGAGAAAATTGCAGGGATCAACCGCCAGCTGTTGGCCAGAATCAGGATTTTATATAGGGTGTGAGCTACATTGTTCAAAGAGGTGTTGGTGTGACAGTGAAGGCTTTTTTTTTTTTAAATTTTTAATTTAAAGATATTTACAGATACACGGATATCCAAAATCAGTTTGCTTGGACTCTTTAGCTCTGGGCACATTCTCAGACTTAGTCTACTCAGCCTGCAAGTGACTGTTTTAGATTCATTTATTCCTCCCTTAAATTCCATCTCTCTTCTCTTCCCAATCTCACCCCTACTCTCTCAACAAGTCAGGATTTTAATGTACTTGATACTCCTAAGAGTATTAGGACACTTGCTGTAAGAGAAAGTGGAGCAATGATTTCTTTCTTTCTTTCTTTCTTTCTTTCTTTCTTTCTTTTTTTTTTTTTTTTTCTTTTTTGGGCTCAGGAAAAATTCCTTTATTCGACAGGCTTTCGCGGAGCTTCTATATGTAAAACCTTGGTTTTGATGAGGAAAGGATAAGAAAAGTCTTGGAGCCCGATGCAGAAGGTTTCTAGCTTGGCAGGTTTCGCATCTCAAGGGTTTCTTGAAAAGCTTCCTCCGCTTACACAGGACCACGTGTCCAAAAGAAGCGATCTGGAATGGCCACGTGTTTATCTCGGAGGGTACAGTTCAATTTGGGGCAATAGCTATGAAATTTTCAGAAAGCACTTCCCCTCTTTATTGCAATAGTACACCCCCTTTCGCTCGCGCTCTCTCTCTCTCTCTCTCTCTCTCTCTCTCTCTCTCTCTCTCGTGTATGTGTGTGGTGTATGTGTTTCTTCAATGCTAAGGTTCAAGGTAAAGTAGATGGAGATGAAAAATAAGATGAGTGTGAGGTGCTAAGGTAGCAGCGGTGGCAAACTGTAAGCACTTTGGTGACCATCATTAACATAGTTTTAGCAGCAAAGGTTATCATTTTTTTTTTTCATCCCTTTGTATGTGTTTCTGGATGTTAGGCAATCCTGAATTTGCCTTTGAATTATTACCTGTGTATCCCTGGTGACAAGTCAGGCCTTCACTTAAATAAATGGAAAGGGACGTGTGTGTGTGTGTGTGTGTGTGTGTGTGTGTGTGTGTGTGTGTGTGTGTATAATAGGAGTAGGAGGGAGGCTTGGGAGAATAGGGGGTGACAGTAACCAGAATCACTTGATCCATGTATGAAACTGTCAAGGAACCACTTCAATAAAAGTTATTTAAAAAGCCAACATTCCATTCTGTCAACTAGTTGTTTTCACTTTCACCATGTGAAGCATCAACTTTTTTTTTTTTTTCTTTTTAAATTAAAGAAATGAATTGGTGGTGGCATCTTGGACAAGACTGTTCATTTGAAACCTCAGGATGTTTCACTAAGTATTGGCCTCGTCTACTATGAGACCCTTAGGGATACTTTATTTTTCTGTTGTCCAAGACAAATAAGCATTCAAGGCCAGAGTGTAGTGTGGTGATTTTACAAACACTCAGAAAGCGAGTCCTGGGGTGGGGGTCCATTTGCTGCTCATGATGTCATCAAAGAGAAGCGACAACATCAATGGTGATGAGACTCCACTATGAGAGAGACAGCTTGAGGTGGTGTAGGCATTGATATTTCAGGAATGGGTTCAATTTGCTTTGGCATTCCTGAAAGTTAGCAGACAACCAACATATTTTCCGGCCTGGAAGACTTCTATTTATGTAACTGTTGTTCCCCATTTCGGCGAGCCTCCTGTGATCCGGCTAGTTCAGAGTTTTCCGTGAATTGGTTCCAAACGAGTGCTGTAGCCATGCTTCAGTCAGAGAGACAAGACCGTGGGGTCACGGAAACGTGGCAGCGTGATAGATAATTGAGCCTTCTGGAGAGCGTCCCACTTTTAAATCAAATTTATATTGCTCCTTTCATGTGCCTGGTGGCTCGTGGGTCAGGCCGGGCCTCCTCTCCTCACATATGAAGTCTATCACTATCACGTGGATTGTTTTGGACACCCTGGGAGCAGCGTGGGGTAGTACTGCTGTCATCAGCGCTGTTCCCACAGCGTGGTGACTCCGCACACGTGAGCCGGCAGCAGCTTGGGAAAGTGTCTCCTCAGAAGGCCTGCTCGTGTTTTCTTCTCTGCCTTTTGGAGTAGACCAGTTGTCTGTCCGGAGAGAGGGACAGGCATGGGGTGGGGGAAGTAGATGTCACCCTACTTGTAGTCTATGTCTCTTTCTTTTGGCCTGAGGCTTGTCAGCCCCAGGTGAGAAAAATTTAGGCAATCCACACTCTGACGAGGTGGCTCAGGAGGTGTGTGCAGAGGAGTTAGCTTGTTTTTTTTTTCTTTTTCTTTCTATTATTATGATCATTATTACTGTGTCATTACTTGGAGATCAAAATTGGGCATGCGGTTCTTCATAAAAGGAACCCGCAGATGAAATTACAGATGCCTTTGTTAGAGTTCTGTTCCACTTTACTTTTTCTTGGCCTGGCTCCTGGCACAATAGCATTTAAGGAATATAAAAATCAAACACAGCTAGGTAATAATTTTTGTCTGCATTCAATTGTAGAGGTTTAGCTCACAATGGGCATATTCCATGGTCGTGGCTATGTTTATGCAAGGGACTCCTCTATCGCTCTGTTTTAATTTAAGAGGGTGAAAATGTTTCTCTCTTAGAGCTGTTTTCTCTTTTTATGTATTGGTTCATGGATGAGACTTGCTTGGGAATCTAAGATCTAAGAAAATTGAAATGAGATAAGAGTAGGCATGTGTAGTGTTCTGGGAGTTAGGATACTGGGGGTGAGCACAGCCATGGGGCTCTTTTGGTCCTTATTTAAATAGAACACATTGTGAAAAGTGATTTCTCCAGACTGGTTTTCCATAATGTAGAGTTCTGAGACCTTTGTCTTCCTCGTGGCTAGGAAATAATGTTCAGTACACTGAGTTCATTGACAAGAGCTTTTCCTATAGTTAATTATTTGTCTTGCATTTTATTTACAATGTTTGCATCAACCAAGACTTATTCATACCAGAAAGGA